TTCCACTGCCAATAGTACCCTTCTTGATAGGCGTGGTGTATGCCCAAAACTAGCGATCAGGAGACATCAGAGCCAGCGGCAAATGTCGGAAGGACTAGACGAGTTGAGGCTGCTCTTGGCGGATGCATGAGCAATGAACGCCCACTGATCGTCCTGATCGTGAGTGAGTGAGTGAACGAGCAGATGAGTAGTTTTGGTATTACAATGTCATGCTTCATGCCTATACACACTCCACATTTTATGTCATAAAATTTGCCTCAAACAATTCTTGCTACCATATTGGAGAAAAACAAGTAGCATGTTTAATTGTCAGTCGTAGGTCACTTCGAAAACTTACAGGAAATACTAGACCATCTGGGGACTTTTGGCATTTGGCTCTTTTCAACATATTGTGCTTTGGGACAAACCTACTCTAACCTCACAAACTATTTAGGGTGGATAGTACACACATTGGGGCAGAAAGTAGTATCAAAACTGAACTCAGAGCCATCATGGGAGGTGCTCAGTGTGCTTTTCATTTAGTGTTCATTTAAGCCTGGTTTACACTATCGCAGGACCTTCCACAGACTGCTCATGCAGCTCATTGTGCCTGAGGCATTTGTACTTCACATATTTGATATTCAGTAGAGTTGAAGCACCATGTTAGCTTTTTATTTGAAGATACAAAATCTGGGACATGCATAGCCAGTGCAGATGTGGAGTCTGAACTGCAAGAGTTCATTTTATTTACAATGCATTACATTACTGTTTTGCATTGTTGTATTTCGAGGCTTGGGTAGAGAGATACTGCCATGCAACATCTATCCCATAACACTGACCTGTGCACACAAAGATGAAAAATTCCTTTCAATTTCAGCATGCATTTGTTTGGTCAGATTAATGCAAAAAAAAATGCAGACAGGCTGAACAGGCTGTCAGTTTCTGACACCTACTAGTCACAAAGAGGAATAAAAGAAGTCAAGCAGTATTTGTGTTTTCAAACAGCTGTTCAATCCTTTCTATTTTTTTTTTCACATTAACAGGTGGCAATCCAAATAAATAAATGTTTATCTCAACAAATTACAGTGATGAACATTTATCTTTGTGTGAATAGGCCTGACCCCTCACACAAACTATTTAAATAAGATATTTAATTTTTTTATTTTTTTGGAAATGTTTGTTGGTTCTCACAATGTTAAACTTCAGCTTTTATTTTCCTGAAGGCTATGTAGGCAAAACCACATATACTGCCTGTGCGCAACCATTATGCAATCTACCCACACTAAAAAATGCATTAAAGAGCAGCTTGGCCCACATTTGATATGAAGGGTATCAACAATTTAAAAACGCTTAGGTAACTTGAAAATTTGACAGTGAGAAATCAGAGCAAAATAGAAAATTAGTGATCCGAGGAGGGACAGATGCTTATTAATCTATTAATGATTCAGTTCTTCATGTTAATCTATTCAGGCAGTTAGAAGTCACTGACATACTGACATCAAGAGTTGATGAGTTCTGTTATCTCGTCCCCAGCCACAAAGAAAATTTAGAAACAGATGCTGAATAAAATGTATAGAAGATGCAACTTGTAAATGACAGTACCATGACAAAGACAAGCTTCCACAAAAGCAAGCTTAAACCTCACCAAAACATCTTTAAGACTCATAAAGAATAGAAAGGCTGTGCTCCATCAATGACTAATGTAAAGCACTCATTAAACACACATCAAAGACAGAACAAGAGATCACTCACCTAGTCACTGCTGACACACACACTGATGTTCAGACAGATGTTGAGAGTGTGGAAATTATTCCCTCAAACTCAGTTTCAACATAAACGTGAGCAAAAATGTTATCATACTGCAGGAGCAGGGCACTGCTGACTCTAAACTCTGAGTAAATGCCACAGCGTGTGTATGATCTCAGTGATGTGTGTGGTTTGTCCAGACCCCTCCCTTCCTCCCTCCCTCCATCCATCCTCTCTCGCTCCCCATTTAACCAATTTTAATCCTCCACTCACCCAGCAGACTTTTTGAGTCTGTGCTTAGTCCTGCCTACATCTTCTTCCAGAGGGTTTTAAAAACATCACATATCTGTATCCTGCAAGGTTATTTTAGGTTTTATTTCATTTTCTATTTGTTATTCAAAATTAAGCTAGCACTTTTATTATGTATGTATTTATCATAGCAATTACAATATCTGGGTAATAACTGGTACTAACCCTGAACCTACCCCAAAATATAACCTTAACCATGTAGTTACCTTACATTACGCAGTACTTTTTTAGTTATGTATACTTTAAGTGCACACACTGTAAAATAAAGTGCAACCCAAATCACTTTAGGCTTGCAGAATTTTTTAGTATGTTTAATACATATATTTTTAATGTATTTGTAGCTTGACATTTACACTGTTTCAACTGTTTCCTTCTGTTCTGTGTGATCAAAAAAGTGGGACCTTTGCACAAAGACCATGGTGACCGAGCAGAGTTTTCATGTGTTATAATGAGTGATGATCCGGCACTGGAATTTGTTATTTTTAATGTTGTGCTCTTTGGCCGAAGGCAAGAGTGTGATGTTCTCTCTTGAACAGCCACATAGAGACTCACTCCAATCTACATTTTTCTGGAGCGGCAACAGCTCGCTATCCATTCTTGTAAAGTCAAAAAAACGATAAAAGCAAAATGATAAAAGCAAAATGTATCGCCACTATTGATATTCACACACATATCTGTATTTTGTTTTATTAAAATAAGTTACATGTGGGCGGAATTAGAACTGGGAAATATACAAAGTCAAAAAGCATAGATGTTACCACTAGACCATCACACCAAAATGTCTATATTAAGGCCAAAAATAAAATTATTATGTGGATTTAAGTGACTTATCCACTGAGACTGATCATGGACAATATTGTAAACACTTCAATGGGTCAGGAAGAATTAAGCTTGAATCATTAGTGTGTAAGGATTTAATGTCAACTCCTGTTGTGTCAAAAATAGGCATTAAACATGGTCTTAAACTATCATTTAAATAATTCCTGGACATTTCTAATTCTAATTCACTAATAACCCCAAAATGTATGTATAGCTCTAAAATACGCTACAGCATTAAATCTCATGATCTGAGCTCTTTTGTGCCTCATAGATTTGATCCCATGGACAGGGACAATAATCGTCTGTAAAAGCATCTTAACAGAGCAGACAGATATCTGCAGGCGGAGGGGGAGGGATTGAGAGAGAGATAGGATGTAAATTGACAGATGTCAGGCTCAGACAGAGAAAACGGAAGATAATAGAGGAAGAGGAGAGAAGGAAGAGGCAGGAGGTCGAATGGGTAACTGCTGGAGTCTCTCTGTGATACCTCACATAATCTGCTAATTAGTAAATTAAGGCAATTAAATATTCATTCAGCCAGATGCAAGCTCCAACATTATCAGCTCAACCCACTAATTCACAGAAGAAAATATAACATTGAACATTTATCATGAACATTTATATAACAGACCTGTCAATTAGCTCCAGTGTTTAATTATTAATCTGGTTATTTTTGTTAGGTTACATTCCGCTTAGAGTTACTTAAAATCCCTGGCCGTATAAATTTAACCATTATATTTCTGTCACATCAGTCTCATGCTAATATGAGTAATGTTTAAGTTTTATGGTTATATTTCCGAACAGCACGATGAATACAGCATATACAGAAGAGGATTATGCCAAATATTTTGCGGGCGTCGTCGGCAATTCCCTCAGATCGCGTCTTTGATAATTCACACTGCATGATTGTTACTCTAAAGGGAGGGCTTTGTCCCAATAAGACAACATCTAGAATTTTGAATCTTCAAATCACCTAACCTGCATGTCTTTGGGCTGTGGGAGGAAACCGGAGTACCCGGCATAAACCCACACTGACACAGGGAGAACATTCAAACTCCACACAGAAAGGCCTCCGGTCCCTGCCTGGGCTTGAACCAGGGACCTTCTTGCTGTGAGACAACAGTGCTAACCACCGACCCAATGTGGGAGTCAAGGTCGTCTTGGAGGAGCTGGTGTCCAGGACAGAGCCAGTCAGGCAAGAAGCCAGGGTGGAGCTAGTGGGGTAGAGGGCCAGAGAGGAGCTGACAGAGCAGGTGGCCAGGGTGGACTTGGTGAAGCAGGTGGTCAGGGCGCAGCCAACGAGTCTGAAAACACCCACAGTGAAGCAGAAGACCACTACAGCAGAGCAGACAGGACCGAAGATCCCCACAGTGGAGCAGAAGATCACCACAGCCGAGCAGATGGGATCAAACATCCCCAAGGCAGAGCAGAAGACCACCACAGCAGATCAGATGGGACTGAGGATCCTTATGGTGGAGCAGATGGAGTTGAAGTCCACCATGGCAGAGCAGGCAGAGCTAGAAACCACCAAGGTGGCTCAGGGAAAGCAGGTGACCATTGAGGCAGAACAGATGGAGCAGAAGGTGGTTGCCACCTCAGGAGGGTCAAGAGAAGTGTACACAGCCCACAGACATAAGATGGCGACAGCCATCGCAGAAAGCGCAGCCAATGGTGGAAGGACCTTTGGTGCCATCGGGCATTGCATAACAGGACTACAGTTCACTGGGCTTGAGAGCAGAGTCCGCTGGGATTGAGAGCACTAGATACCTCCAGACTAACCTGCCGCTTGTGGCTGATTTCTCACAATTCACCTTGGCTGTACATTCTGCAAAGGTGCACATAGGAACTCTGGCGTGATGGCCATGACAGCTGGGGACTCTGGTGTGGCTGCCATGACAGGACAAGGCGCTGGTGATGACAGGACGAAAATCTGGAGTGGTGTTCATGATGGGACAAGGCTCTGGAGTGGCAGCCATGATGGGACAAGGTACTAGGGGGCTACTGGAGGAGTGCCACTTTCCTCCTCTGCAACTTCCACAGTAAATGCAAAGCCACTCAGTTGCAGTGCAAAGTCAATATAATACTCCAGCATCCAGTCAGGATGCCACAGTGGCATGCACAAACTGAGCGGCTCTGAAATATCTCTGATCTGCAAGACCTGACAAATTACATGGGAAAACACTGGGGGTTATATAGACAAGAAAACCTGGGGCTGACAAGGGACATATGTGGGTGATTAGTTGGCATGGTAACTATTGTGACAAACAAGGGTAACTATGGGAATAAACCAGGCACAAGGCAAAGAGGAACTGAACACATGAAGCAAACACAGAATCAATAGTAACCAAAACAATACAAAATAAGAGTCCTTAAAGGGCTTTTATTATGCCATTTCAAAAATTGCCTTTTTTCATGCAGTGTGTAATGTAGGTGTATGTGAATGCAAATGATCTCCAGTCTCTTTCCCCCATGCATGCATGTTGGTGTCCTCGTGGGTCCAGGAAGGGAATGCGAAGGACCATGATCCGGATTGGAGAATCATGCGTAACGCCATAGACCGGCTAGGATGCCGGGCCACTATTCACTGCAAGAACCACAGGCCTGGAAAGACGACCTTCTGTAATTGCATGTGGTCTCCAGACCCCGCCCTCTGCCCTGGACCCTTCCTGACTGAACACTGTCTCTTCTTCACAATTCCCCAGCACAATGAGGACACCATACCCACTGTTCATTTTGGACACCCCTTGGCCACCCCTCTTGGACAATTTTTTCCCTGTTTTGAACTTTTATGTTCTATTTATGTTTAGCCTGACACCACCCCCACTGTGCCTGTTGTTTGTCATTAAATGAGTGAGATGGGGATAAGGAACTAATTTTAACATAAATAATGATATTAGCCATCTTTGGCCAGGGTCAAGAGTAAAAAAATTATTAAGAACAGCTTTTGAATAAAATTTGGAAAAATGAAAAAGATGAGTATTAGGCAGGTTGAATTTAGCTGACAGGGATGAAAAAGATGAAAATACTTAATTTTCATATAAGTCATCGGAGACCTTTAGTTGACCAACAGTGAAAGACAACATATGAACCAAGGGTTTGCGTAGGACATTTTTTTTAACTGATGCAAAACAACAGTATTATTAACTACTGGGTTATTCAAAATTTTGTATACCTCAATAGGAAGCTGAGAGCAAATCATGGGGAGTAAAGAACAATAGGAGTAAGATAGCTCGGTATGAACGCAGGGGGTGCACATGTCAAGACCTATAAAGCCAACCCGGTAGAGCAATTTAATAATGTTACATGCCCAGATATAACACAGAAAATAACTAAGCTGAAAAACTGATCTCCTAATGCGGGCTGGCTTGCCATACCAGAAGAACCCACTCAATTGCTGATTCAAACTGGTTAAAAAGCATTTATTAATACAGACTGGAATGTGCTGAAAAAGATATAAACATTTTGACAGAATCACTATTTTGATAAGATTCACATTGCCTACTAAAGAAAGAAGAAGGGATGCTCACCTATCCATTTCTAATTTGCATTTGTCCATTAGTGGCTGTTCTTAATGAAAAGATCCTTGAGAGTGCTAGTAATGAATATCCATAAATATTTCAACCCATCAGCGACTAACTTAAGAAGAAATGTAGAATAAAGGTGAGTACAATTAAATGTTTTAATTTTACATTTAATATTACCATTTTCACACAGTGCCAATGCTTCAACTTAAATACAATTTCTCTTTTTGTACTCCTCTTTATGTTTTTCTCTGTGTGAGACTGGTTTTGGGGAGTTTCCCATTGTTATCCTGACAGATATATATATATCCATCCACAGAGATTCACATCAGAACATTGAATCCCATCATCATTCAGAATATGTCTTTCTTTGGCTTCAGGAAAAAACATAAAAGTGTCATCCATCTTGTATAATTCAAAAGATGTGAGTTACTTCATATTGTATTGTGAGCCTTCAATCCTTCAAATTGTACAAAACCAAAAGCATGAGAATTATTCACTTACAGCTAAATTATTAAATGAGAAGTTTACATCCCTTGCACCTCAAAATTCAGATACGCAATAATAACATTAAAAAATATAGAACAGTACTGGAATTGTAAAATGTTAAGTATAAATACGTTTATAGATCTTTATATAAAAACATTTTAATTTTAATAAAAAACATTTAAAAGTAACGAATTACTATACTTTCAATGAGATTTTGCAATGTGCAACTAATGGACACTTTTCCATACCATGTGTGAGCTGTAAATGGCAATAATCCACAGGGATTACATTCTTGCTATATAGAAACTACTTTTTAGCGATCACAGTACAGTACACAGTACACTAAAGAGGTACCCAATCAGAATATGCCATTTCAGCTGCAGCCAGATTGTTTTAGACTGTGCCTGAAATCACCCCTTATACCCTTACATTGTGCACTATTTAAGAGGACAGTCACTTATAGTGATGTCTGAAACCATAGTCAACATTATTGAGCGTACTTATTAATTTCCAAAATGCACTGCAAGAACAAGTGTACAACTGATGGGTGCTTCTCAAAGAGAAAGCCATCCTATGAAGGCTGCGTATGTCATCAAACGTCGCTGAAGGCCATCTCAATCGGAAGGATCCTTGGAAGACAGTGTGGCGGCATACATTTAAGGATGTGACAGAATTCACATAGAGTGTTTGTAATGTTTTCTCTTTCAGCAGGGGCGATTCAAGGATTTTCATTTTAAGGGGGCTCAGCCCCCAGTGAGGGTATAATAATAATAATAATTAATAGCCTAATAATAATATATATATATATATATATATATATATACTATACTGTATATATAAAATAAAATAAAAAAATTTTGATTAATAGGGGTCGTATACTAAACTTATTGCAATATTCCACTGTATTGCATAGATAGGTAACATATTTGAGTACTGAATAAGCCAAATTCAAGTCTTCATGATCTCACACACACAACCTGTTTACTAGGGTGACCATACGTCCTTTTTTCCCCGGACATGTCCTCTTTTTGGACTTAAAAAAAATGCGTCCGGCCGGGATTTCTAAATCGCCCAAAATGTACGGGATTCGGCTTTTACTTTCTATAATCGCCATTCATTGTGTGCATTTTTGTATTAAAGCCCTGCTCGTGACTGGTTTCTTAATCCCGCTCCCAATTTGTGACCATAACTGCCTGCTCACACAAAAATTCTAATATTGCATATAATTTTCGCGCATCAGGGAGCCGATATCCATATGCGGAGTATTTATATCACTTTGAATGCAGCTTGTGTATGATGCAGGGTTGCCAAATCTGCATTTTTTCCACCGAATTGGGCTGAGTTTGAACTGTTGTGGCGGGTTGATTTTCTCGCGTGGATTAAAGTTTTTAAATATTGCATAAATTACATTTGACTGAAATGCTTGAATTGAAACATTTTGCATTCTACCTATGATAAAACTGTGGTAGATGTTAAGTTTTGTGACATTATCCCCCCCCCCATTATCCTCTGTTTTGAAAACTAAAATATGGTCACCCTATGTTTACTGTACAAACACAAAATATTTCTGTATGCATTTCTAGTACAACCCTCTTTCCTTAGCTCGAGTATGCAAACCTCTTTGCCACATGCACTGGAATATGTATTTTATTGAAAGTTACATTTTCAAATGAAAATGGCAACATGATCGTTTTATAAAGTATGCGTTCATATGTGCTTCATTTTCGCTGGAGGAAACAGCTATGGTGTGATGAGGGGTGAACGCAGTGAAAACTTAGGCTACAGTAGATGGGGAACCAATTATTGCTCCCCCATGATATTTTGTAAACTGGATTTATGACAAAGAATTGCACAGATGCAGATATTATAACAATCTATCGTTAAACACACACCTTGTCCTCTGTTTCTCGCTCTGCGCCGCAGCATTCTGTGGATTGAAAAAGAGCGCGCTGAAAGACGGGGAGGAGCCGATCAAAGTTTGCCGCCGTTTTCATATGAAATTTAAAGGGGACTGAGAAGATCACAAATTCGTGCACAGTTTATGGAGCTAATCGCAAAATTTTAGGGGAGCTGAGTAGTCATTTTAGGTTTTTAGAGCTATAGCCCACCTAAAAATGGCCTAGCAACGGCCATGTCTTTCAGAATGTTTTTTTTGTGACTGTGGTGGGGTTTTCCCCTTTAAGAGTTAGACCTTTTGCGAGTTCAGTAAAAGCTAGAGTCTGTTCATGGCTTTTCACCCAATTTTGGTGTCGCCTGTATTCATTTAATCGCACAAGCCCCTAGAACAACCTTCGTTTCGCATCCTTTGTTCAGCTTAATTTGAAGGATGCATGGGATGTATCCTTCACAACCTTCAATCACCCACAATCCTTTATACCCATTCCATTTCATGAAAATAAACTGACAAAAAAAGAAGTCAGTACTGAGCTTGTCTGACTTTATTATGAAATTTAAGACAAAAATCATGTTTTCGGACAAGAAAGCATAGATGTTATCTTTTGTTTTGGTGTAAATTACTCACTAAATGCTCAACTTTAAATGCCAACAATGTAAGCCACTGGAAAGCCATTGTATTGCATTAATAGAAAGCTAAATAATATAAAGATTTGTAATACAAAGTATTTTTCCAAAACTAAGTTTTATTAGTATTTTCGTGTCATGATGGTGAGGACGGGAACATATGTGACCCTTCCCATGTATTCAGTGTCTGAATTCTATCACGGTGTGTTGAAGAAGACTCGAAGATTAATAAATTCCAACACGAAGTTTAATCACAATAATCCACACAAGAGATAATCCAAACAGGCAGGGAAACATACAATGTAAACGGTGAACAGACAAAGAGTGTCTGAAGGTGCAACTTAAGTACGTAGACAAATGAGGATAATTAACAAGACACAGATGAACTAACTGAAGTAATAAAGGGGAAACAGAAACTAGGTCAAAGAACAAAACTAGAAAGCCAAACACAGTCCAA